GATCATTGGGTTTTGTTGCTGAATTGGTTGAAAATATTGTGTATTAATTGGGTTTTGTTGCTGAATTGGTTGTTGATTTTGTGTATCTATCGGTTGTGGAGAAAAAATTCTATGATTTGTATGTGGTTTCTGTACTCCTTGTCCACGATATTCTTGATTATATGGTGCAAATATATCTGGTTGTAAAAAATCATCATCTGAGGATAAGTAATCCATTTGATAAGATGTTTGTTTTTTATTTTTATTTTGTTGAAAAAATGGATAGTTTTCACTACGATCCTGTGAAGGATGTAAATTTGTTTAAAAATTTACTGAATTAGTTTGTGCCATTGGGTTATCCCAGTTTCGAGATCTTGTATAGTTATTAAAATTTTTTCGTGGGGGATAATTTGTTTTTGATGGATGTGTGTTATTATAATTATGTTCTGCAAAATTGTTTCTAGTGAACGTTTTACGTGTTTTTGACGGTATTGTCATGGGTCTGTTTGTCTGATAATCCATGTGTGAATATTTTGGGGCAACCGAAGGTTTGTTGTTAAATTTGGACGTATCGGTGAAATGCTTTGTTGTGTAGTTGTTGTGTGTACGATTTCTTCATTTATGAAGTGTGATGGTGTCTGGATATCTTGTTGGGTGAGATTTCTAGTTCCATTGAGGTTTTCATTGTGTATGACTGTGGAGTTTAAACTATTATTTTGCATATCAGGTAAAAATGTATTATAGTTTAATGGTGTTGCATCTATGGTTAATGGTATTACTCTTACATAATCTCTTACATAAGATATTGTACTTATTGCTTGACTTGCAATTGATTGTGGGATATTTATAAATGCATAATGAGACCATTCGGGGTCCCAAACATAGTCTGACTGTTCTGTGATGGCAGTATCATCGTTTGAGTTTTGAGGTCTAAAATTTTTTCTTGCTTGTGAAATTAAATCTAGATTATGTGTGAAATAATCTGTTATAAACCATGCCAAGATTTTTTGTAAGTCATGTTTTGTATGTTGTGAAACATCATCTTTAGTGAAATTTTCTTTAATTAAATTTAGAAAACTAGAGAGTAGTGTGATTTCATGTCGTACTCTTATATGTTTAGATGTTTCTGTCGGTGAGACATTTGGGATTGGGATTTCGTTTTCTAATATCGAGATATAACTATATATTATTGCAAAAACTTCATTGGTGAATATGGAGTTTGCTCTTTGTGAGTTATGATATTGTATGCTTTTTATATATTCTGAGAATACTTTTGAGAATTCTAAATCAAGGTCGTCTGTTTGAATTACATATTTGCTGTGATTCTGGTTTGGTGAGCTGAATTCTATGGAGTAGATTCCGTATTGTTGTGTTAAGTTGCATATATCTTTCAAATAGTGATCGATAATTTGTCTTTTGATTTTTACATCTGGGAACTCTGTTTTACATGGACTGATTCCGGGTTCAAACAAATTTAAGAGTAAATTTTTGCAAAATATATGCTGTCCTCTATCTGTGGTTGCATCTACGATAAAGGGGAAGATATCATCATCATCATCTGAACTTTCTTCACCTGGGGTGTGTGTTGAGCTCATTTTTTCGTTTGATGACTGTTAATATGTAACTATCGATGTGTCTAATTGGTTGATTCCAATTGTATAAGTGTACTGGTTTGTGTTTATATTGTTTTTTTATTCTTCTTTTTCCTCTTTTTGATGAATTTGAAGTTGTTTCTGAGTCGGAAAAATATAATTGATCGTGAATGGGGCAATTTTTATCTATAGATTCTTTTAATTTATAAAGTTCGTCTAAACTGCTGGTTTCTGATTCTGAAAATGCGTTTCGGTTTTTTGAAAATCTTTTTCGTGTTATTTGTCTCTGTTTGGTTATTATTTTTCTTTTTAGTGTTTGTCGTTTTGTTCTGATATATCCAACTGTTTGTGTATGAGGTGTGATTACAAGATCGTATTTTTGTTATCTATTTCACAATTGTGTAAAACGATTGTTTGTTTATTTCCTAGGTTTTTAAATGACATAAGGTTTAGGATGACGGATGCAAAAGGTTGTTAAATTTTTTCTATTTTCTTAGACTGTTAGTCCTTACGATTTTTTGGTTAGCCTAACCTGGGTCTATTTGTTCAGGGTTGGGGAGAAAAGTATATCGATTCCGAAGAATGATTTTATACTTTCTCGTGGCTAGTATAAGCTAAGATGTTAACTTACTTAATCTTACTTAAGGGTAGTGATTGTGTTCAGGGTTGGAGAATAGTAAATCGATCCACAAGGTTCAGGTATAATTATAACGCGAGTAGTTCGTTAGATACTATTTTAAACTTACTAAGTCTAAGATTTATCCTGGGTCTGGTAAGAGGGGGGATCAAGTGAAGGATGAATAACCGAAGTTCTTGACTGTTTATCCTAATTTGAATGATTAGTTTTATTCAAAAATTTCTGTTAGTCCTGGGTTTTTAGAAAGGGTTGGATAGTGAATCGACGTTTGAGGTCGTTAGACACTAGCTAAGTGGGTGGGGGAGAACAAAATTGTTCTTTTTGATCCAAGGATAGGCCTTGATGATCAAGTTTTAAATTTAATTATGTAGAAAATGATTTAAGATCCAAGGATGAGCCTTGATGATCTGATTTTAAATTTAAGTGAATTTAAGTTTAAAATGATTTAAATTTGTGTAGAGAAAAGATTTAGTGTTTTTATGATTTTAGTGAGCTTATGAATGCTGTTATGTTTAGGTGATGAAGCTGGAACAACAGGATGATTTATGATTACTTAACCATTTATTGTCATGCTACTAATTTTTATTTTGATTTTTCAATAAATATTTTTCAAGCATGTTTTGTATATTACTGCAGAATTTAGGAAAACGATCTGAGATCTCTTTATCAATCGTTATTGTATATTAATAATTTTGTTTAGCGCCTGAAATGATTTTGGAGATTGACTTCAAGATTTTATGTTTGCAAATGAAAATCTAAATTCATTGCTAGTAGTATTCTAAATACAAAAATTTGTGTTGGCTTTTGCCGAACTATCATATAACTATATGGTAAGTTTCTACTTTGTCGTATGTCGTCTCTGGTTCTTCTTGCAATTCCGGGTAGTTCTCTTATCGTTCGGAATATTGGCTTTGATCTATTGAGTCGTAGAGACATTTCGATTAAATTATCGTCGTGTAACATTTTTAAAATGTTTTGTCTAAATTCTAATCTATTTTTGGTTAATTCTAAGCTATTAAGGTCTTGTTCGAGACTTATGGTCGCACCAGATGAGTTATGACCGAAGTGTATAACTCATAGAGTAATTTCGGATAGGGTACACCGTCTGCTCGTCACGCTATCTTATTTTCGGCCGGATAGATTCGTGCAACTTCTTAGTCTAATACCGATCCTAATCTTACTCTTATACTATCTAGTCTCAGGTTGTTTAACTAGTCTCTGCTAGGCTCAATAGATCTAGGGTATACTGGTTTATTGCGGCTGCTGAAGTCTTCTTGGAGAGTCAACTAATTTCTAAGTTAAATTCAAATCTCTCTGGTGCTGAAATTACAAGTAATTTCAGCACTTACAAATAAAAGGGTTGTTAGTTAGATGGATCATGATTGGTTAATATTAAATACTTTACAGTGGTAAAATATCTAATTTATCCAATCATAAAATGTAGTTTAGATCAGGTTCCAATACGATCGGTTTTGTTATTTTTTTCAAAGTTCAATTTTGATTTTTTGGCTATTCTGTGATACTTGCAATTTTATTAAAATTTACCCCCTCACATATGGGATTACACGTTTAATCAAAGGAAAGAGGCACGAGGAGTGTCCACGAATAAGCCGTGCTAATCCCATTCTTGGCAGGGAAGTGAGATTCTTCCTTGCATAGTTTAAAACTGTATATTTGGTATTGAATACACTATGGACTTAAAAAGGCCAAGAAAAACTCTGTGAGTATTGTTGCACGTTTATTGAAGCAAAAATATATGTAAGAATCAAGAAAGAGCGTTAGGGTGCAAACCTGCAGTAAAATTATAAAACATTTTGGCGTAAGCTTTTAAGTTTTTCCGTATTGATTTTAAAAGCTATGTACGCGAGACAATGTATGCGAGCGGAGACATTAGAAATAGTTTAATGGGCTAATTCAGGTCCCAATGTTTTACTAAGGCATATATTAGTGTGTGGAAAAATGTATGAGAAAATATGTTTTTAAAACAAGAATGGTCGGTTGCTGTCCAAAAACCACAGAATGTTCTGACCATATTCTTGGAAAAAAAATATTCATTTTTTTTCAATTGAATGTCGACTTTGTTGTGCGGGTTTTGATAGAAGATTGAAGGAAAGCCTAAAATTTAAACATATTCGACATTCATTGTACAATTGGCAAGATGAACAACAGGTTTAGTCAAAAACTGACAGGAAAAAATGTTAATTTTTTTTTTGATTTTTTTTTTGAATTTTTTGAATCTCAAAATGGCGCTGAAAAACTTCAAAAATATTCTTATCTAGAACAAATGTAATTTTTCATGGGTTGAATTGCCTTATCCTTTTTCTTTTAAAAAAACCAATTATACGCCTGCTTGCTCGCTTTATTCGCTCGAAATTAGTTTAAAAAATTAAAAACTTCAAACCAAAATTTTTCTACACTGAGAAACAATTTGCTTGTTAAAAGTGCACTCTTTCTTAAAAGTGAGTAAGTGGAATGAGACATTGAAGGCCATTAAAGGGTCACTGCTTGATTTTTGGCTAGCGCTGCTTACAATTGCGCCACTTTCTAAAACCTACTAAAAATCGCGCGTTTTTTCGGCGCACGTTCTCCCCTTAAAATTAGTTTACATAGGCGCCTATGCACCTTTAGAACAATTTTACGGCCGGTCTGCCAAAAAACATAGGAGTGCCAACGGATGCCCCCCCCCCCCCCCCCCCCCCTAAATCCTCTACTGTCTTAATCTATACATTACATGGCCCTTGCGGTTTTAATTCATATACTATCAATATTATTATGATTGTATGTTTTTCCAGATAGGCCAGTACGATACTTTAATGTACAAATGGGCAGGGGTGAAGTTGACAGTACACAAGAGACATGAACACTTGGACCCCGAGTTGGTCAAAGAACTCAAGGACAAATCGAAAAAGAGCTCAGGCCAGTGAATTAATTGAATTCGAAACAAGAAAAAAAATTGAAATCGATAACAAAAGATGAAACGTTTTGTTGAATTTTGAGGCGAGTGAAACTTAATGATGCAAAATATAATTGACAGTATAACACTAGAAGCAGTAGCGCATTTATGAGGGGGGGGGGGGCGACATCCATGAGGTACCGAAAATGCTGGTATAATAGCGCTCAACTATCTATCAGAAAAAAATATCGAATGTTTGTTTTATGAAATTTGAAAACCTATTTTAAAAGTAAAAGAGCTGAAGAAAAGAAAAATAATTCACTGGTTTAAATTAGGATTCACGTCGGCTGAGAAGAATCTGCAACCCCCCAAAGAGGCGACTGGTTCTTTCGAACAGTACATGGCCAGAAAGTGCTATGTCGGAAGAACTATGAAGGTCACACACAAGTTCAAGCTATTATATTAGACATTTTAATCTTTATTATATAAAATCTTACCGACCGTAAGATATTTAGAAAGTATTCAAGCCAGTGAAAAAGTTAGTATTTTGTTAATCTTGAATTTTGAAAAAGCAAAAAATTAGAGCATGTTTTGGTTTTACTAACATTTAACTAACGATCTGACCAGAAGCTAAACTGTATAACATCGACAGGGTGGGGAGATTATCAATTCTACGTTTTTTTTTGACGTTTTTAAAGACTAGGGTTAAAATTATGAGCACCCAAAGTTGAATTTTGGAATTAAAATTATTCGTTTCAACTATCAAAATGAACAGTTTTCGGTTAACGGTCATTGTGGGTTCAAATTTTGGTGTCTTATTGACCTTGAACTCGATTTGACCTCCATCAGGTCATAACATGGGAGAAACAACTGAAAGGATCTTTAGCTATGACTGATACCTTCCCAGTGTCAGCCGAGAGTCTCGTCAACTTCCTCAAAGTGGACTCGGAGGAAATGCGCAAACTGCTCAAAGACATGGCCGAATATTTCACTCGGGCAGTTCCGTTTCCGCCAGGGTTCCCAGTGTACCTGGAACTACCGGTGATTCCGACAACCAAGTTTTACATAAAGATGGATAATTTCTTATGGGGGCTGCCCAAAGAAGTCGAGGAAGATCCGGACTTCTTCAAAATACCCGAGGGCTGTGAACTTGTTGAAGAGCTGTAAAAAAGAAAAAACTTTGTTCACTGAGATTTTTTTATTGAAAATGGCATTGAATTTTTTGATGTTCTAACTAAGCTAGTAAAAAGTTACCGAGAATGAAGTTTTTGCTTAATCACAAACTGCAGTATCAAGGCATTAGATTGTTTAGTTCTAGGATCCTTAAAATGATGTAGGACTGTCGGTCATAGTCGGTCAAGGATGGCTACCGGCACTCAGTAAAAAAAAAGAAATTAACCGATTAGATTTCAATTGTTATTGTATTTTTATCAAAATTATAATTCATTATCAGCGCCAAATTTAGATGCTTAAACAGTTTATAATCTAATATGATGATAACATTTTTAGCGACGTTATGATAAATTACAATCAATTATTAGTGATAATAACTTTTCCGAAAATCTCTTGAAATCTATTATAACACATTATAATCCCGTTATCTGTCAAAATGTTATCACGCAAGAAAAATCAATTACAAGGGATTAATCTTTACCTATTCTGTCAAATTCAAAATCTGTAGAATGAGATGTTTTGTCACACTTCGGTTCAACTGAACACAAAGTCTTACCACGAAACGAAAGTTTCACGGAGATAGCTTCATATTATTTGAAAGGTTCTCGCGGTAGGTGAAAAACAATTCTTCCAAATAAATCAAGAAACTGAAGCAATATGCTGATAATTTGGTGGTTAAAAAATTTTAAATTGTGCATCATGAAACCACACTAATCGAGAAGAAGCAAGGTCACAAATTTGAAAAAAGGTCACAAATTTGAATTGATTTGAACACTGCTAAAACAATTTTATCATTTTTCACGTAAACCAACGTCTGCAAAAGGCATAAAACATAAGCGCCTTCTTTCCCACTTGTTCATGTTGACAGGTTTTAATGCAGTTTAAATTGAGAAAAGTCATTTTAATTTGATTTCCATATATTGAAATTCAGAAAAAATCAAAGGGGGGACCTGAAACGAGCCATATAAGCGATTCAGATAGAAGGTCGAAGACAAAATGGGCAAACAACAGGCAATATAATCGATTATAATAGATTCGTTGAGCAAACCTCATGATTTAGAAATAGAGATAAAAAATAACCATTAATAATCAATTATAATTTATTATAATTTTATCAAAAAATATATGGATTGAAAAGCGATTACATCGACTAAGTTTTTTTTTCAGTTGTTTATATTATGATTTCAAAATATGAGATTTAGTTCATTAAAATTGATTTTTTTTCTCAGTTTTATTAAGACTGGTACTAAAATTATAATACAATCGATTGTAAACGCTTGAAAATGGATGAGGGTATCTTGTAAGAATTTGAAAGCGGTGTTGCTACCCGGGTCGAGGTCCTGGTTTTATGTTCAGACTTAATAAGGCTGAATCGATCCGCGTGGGGACCAAAAAATCATAGTCGCTACGCAGGTCAAAGTCTGCAAAGTCTAAAAGTCTAAAAATAAGTTTGCAGTTCTGAACATAAGTCTGCAAAGTCTGAAGATAAGTCTACAAAGCTCGAACATAAATCTGCACATTCTGAACATAAGACTGCAAAGTCTGAAGATAAGCCTGCAAAGTCTGAACATAGGTCTGAAAAGGTTCCAACACATGTGAGGTTTGCTACTTATGTTTCGACCACCGATGCAGGTCGAATACATGTCAGAGTCTACCAAAAATCCATAGTCGAGAAGGTCCTATAGTCGAACTCAAGGTCGAAAATTCAGTCGGTCGATACATAAAATCAAACACAAAGTCGAAACACAAAGTCAAACGCAAATTCGAAACATAAAGGGAAACATAAAGTCGAAATATAAAAGCGAGAACAAAATCAAAACATATAGCCGAACACAAGATCAAAGTATAAAGTTGAACAGTTGTTAGTTAAAACAGTTGTAATTTTTCATAGTGCCGATTTTTTATTTTGCTGTTTTGCGTACCAAAGAATGAGACGAGTCCAAACAGTTTGAACCCGGATTCCTTTGGTCCACACGGTCTGAAGTTGGATTCCTTCGGTCCACATGGTCGGAATCCGGGTTCCTTGGATCCACACTGTCTGAGTCCGGATTTTTTAGGTCCACACGGTCTGAAGTTGGATTCCTTCGATTCACATGGTCGGAATCCGGGTTTCTTGGATCCACACTGTCTGAGTCCGGATTCTTTAGGTCCACATGGTCTGAAACCGAATTCCTTAAAAGCACACGATTTGAACGAAGCCAATTTTGTTCCACACGGTCTAAAATACCATATTGTGGTCCCAGCGGTCTGAGCATGCTAAATTTTGTTCCACATGGTCTGAACATAAAACCAATTTGTCCTCCCGGATAGTCAAACTGCTCTGAAAAAATGCTAAACATACTTTTGAAAACACCCTATAAAATGTTACAAAGCTTTTTCAAATTTTTTCTTTGCAGAAAATTTTGGGTGTTTACTCATTTATTCAGGTTTGTTTTCTTGCATTCAGCGGAAATAAAGACTAGTTTGCACAATTTGCAAGAAATTGCGTGATTTTTTCATTCAAATTTTAAGTCAGCTTTATCTTAAGACTGTAATATAATCTTATAACAGTGTTTTTTAAATAAAATTTCAAAATTGTTTTTACTACCCAGTGCTAGCGTGTTTTGAAACAAGCATCTTAGTTAGATATCAAAACCAAGAAAAAACCATTGCAAATTGTTAGTAATTGAAAAATAGCAGTCATATAGCTGCAAACAATTGCAATAATTTCCATGTAATAGAAATAAGCTACGCTACTCATAGTGTTTTCAAGCAAAGTTTTTAATGAATGAATTGTATGAGTTTTCTATGCAGCAACCAATGGTGTCCTGGAAAAACTAATGGGAAAATTGATATTGTTTTTCTGAACTTCTCAAGATTTTTACGAAAATGTATCTTCTTAATTCCTTGAAAAAACTGACAGCAAAAGCTCTCTTAAAATTTTATAGACTAAAGTGGTACGGAACAGCGTTTCTGAATTACAATTTAGTAAAAAAAACTAGTTAATAATTTCAAGAAGCCTGAAACTTTCAAGCTAACTTTACTTTTTTTTTGCTGCTAGTTTCTATTTAAAACATGAACTTGAAATTTTCTTAGTAACGAAACTCTTGCATGTTGGTTATCTTGCAAGGTTTAGCTCTGTACGAACTTTTTATAAGATGACAACACTCGATCGACTACTCTGATAAAAATGCTGTCAATATTGCTTGTTTCAATGTTTGTGTCAATAAATTCTGAGAAGGGAGAAAATAAATTATGTTAGAATAAAAAGTTCTATATTTTAGAATAACCCGATTTTTAGATTTTCCAATACTTTGTATCTCGATGTTTTTCAACTTCCTTTTTTTTCTTTTTTTTTGCTCGAAGGCTTTTTTTAATAAAGCAAGCGCCAAATACGATCAGTTCAAATTCAGCTGAAGCAGGAAATTTGGTTATATTAAAACAATGCCTTTTTAGATAGCGTGTGGGAAATAAAATAATTAAAAGAATATTTGAATTTTTTTTCATAGTTTTGTTTTATTAATTTACTACTTATTCTTAAGAACGTTTTTCTTCAGGCGTTTAAATGGCAGTCGGAAAAAGCGAATAAATGCTTTGATATCTGATAAGAGTAATCATGTTGAACTTGAGAGCGCATTGTTGTTGCGGCTGTTTTCTGTTATTGTGGTTTTTTGTTATATATATTTCAACGTTTTGCAAACAAAAATCTGCTGAATTTCTTAAATACAAATGATAGCAAAAACAGTTCAATTTTTAGTGACTGAGGTTGCACTCAAAAATGTTTAAAGTTAACGATATATTCACTTTGCTTTTGACTTGTTTTTATCTACTATATACATTTCTAAACTGGATTGCTTATTCGTAAGATATAATTTCGTTAAAAATCCAAACGTTTGCTGCTTTTTGCAGCCCAAAAGACCCTTTTTTTGTAAGTTTTCTGAGAAAACACTTTCAGAATAATTTTTCAGGCCCGAGAAATTTTCGTGAAAAAAGTTGTACATATGTTTTTATATGTCCTTACATATGGCTCTCATCGAAGGCGAAGGGAAAAAACGCCAGAATTCTCAACCATTTAACGCCTTTTAAATTGTTAAAAACTGGTTGAGTTTTTTTTAAAAACTAATTTCAAGTTTTTAATATTGAGCTCTAAATTTTTGGCAAAATTTTTGCTGGTTCAACCCTTGGCGCATGAGAAATTCTACTTTTTGAACTGTTGTTCCTGTGCGAAGCAGGAATTATGCCAATTCAAAAATTCTGTTTTGTGTTCAGTTTTCTTCACAACCGATGTTTTAGAAACGTAAAATCAAACACGGCAAAAATTCTATCTGCACTCAAAGTCGTTTAAAAATTACCTTGGTAAATCTTGCTAACAGCACCTTCAATTGCATGTGCTTAACCGTTAAATGAAAAGTAAATTTTACAAAAAAAAATTTCCTACAAGTATGATATTTTGGTTCACAAAGCATAGAATTATGCAAAAATTTTAAATAAGTACCCTTTAAAACCTTGTCAATTACTGCCTCCTTGGAATTTTTCTAAAAGTTGGGGTTTCATCTGGTCAAGTTAGCAACCTCCCGTCTGACTAGATCTATTTAAAACTTTCATGCCCAATGTTTAATTTAAAATAAAATGGCTCAGAGGTACGTGTAAAAAAATCAATTCTGATCGGCTGAAAGGTCCAGCATAAAACTGAGTTTGCGCTTGAGAACCGAATTTAGTATTTCAGATTGCGCTTGAATTCAAACTTTCTGTAAACCATTTTTGTCAACCCCATAAACAAGGTTTTTAGCACTTCAGAGAGCGCGCGAGTTCAAATTTACTGGCAACAACTTTTTTAACCCCCATCCCCCTAAAATCTTTCCAGGAGAGAGGATGTGACTTTGGTCCGACCCATCTTTTCATTTGTTGTTCCTCAACACTATCAAACTTGTCAAAAAGAACTTTTTGCAAAAACTTCGAACTCCCGCGCAGTCTCAGGTTTTATGAGAAAAAAAGTAAGTGTGTTGACCTGAAAG